TGTCAAAATGATGACATTGAAACATTATGTTTTTTACATGTGGCAATTTGTGTATATTTTCGTACTGCCTAGAGATGTTACCAGGAATGTTTTAGTTTTATCTAATCACATTTTTCAAAAACGTTTTTTTTCCTGTGTTGCAGCAGAAGTAAATTAAAATCTTTCATTATTGGGTCATACCTAACTCTTGGTTAGGTATGTTTTCTGTTGAAGGGAAACTGAGTACAATAATTATAGTGTGCTAAGTTGTTTAGGGCCCGATGGTTTGTCTGTAGTCTGAGTTCTATATAACATCAATAGCAAAGAAGACTGCAGCTCATGAAATATAAAAAAAACAACTGAATAACAGGTAATTTTCTTGCTGGATATTGGGTATTCATCAAAAACATGTATCATTACATGTAAAATATAGGATCATATAAGAGTTCTCTTTTTTAAAAACATAATCTTTTGAATAGTCTTAATTAAGAATTCTTCAAAATATTAATAAACCACTTCCAAGTATGTGCTAAGTTAGCAGTTATCAATTTTGATTTCATATTAATATACTTTTTTTTTTTCTTTTTTTTTTTTCCAAGAGCATTATACAGTGCAGAGACATTGTCTGAGTAGCCAGGGATCAGGTTAGAAAAGCCAAAGCTCTTTTAGAATTAAATTTGGCCTGGTACATAAAGGGACACAAGAAATGCTTCTATAGGTGAACTGATGATAAAAGAAAGACTAGGGAAATTGTGTACCCTCTCCAGAAGGAAATGGGAGACCAGGATACAGAGAAGGCTGAGGTATTAAATGACATTTTTGCCTAAGTCTTCACCAGCGAGAACTCTAGCCACATTGCCCAGGCCCCAGAAGGCAAAGGCAAGGACTAGGAGAAGGATGAACTGCCCAGTGTAGAAGATCAGGTTTGAGACCAGCTAAGGAACCTGAGGGTGCACAAGTCATAGATTCATAAAATGACTTGGTTTCGAAGGGACCTTAAAGATCATCTAGTTCCAATCTCTCTGCCATAGGCAGGGATACCACCCACTAAGTCAGGTTGGCCAAGGCCCCATCCAACCTGGCCTTGAACGCCTCCAGGGATGGGGCATTGACAACTTCTCTGGGCAACCTCTTCCAGTACCTCATGGCACCTGATGATATACATCCTCAAGACCTGAGGGACCCAGTGGATGAACTTGCTAAGCCATTGCCCATCATATTTAAGAAGTTGTGACAGTCTGATGAGGTTCTTGATGACTGGAAGAGGGGAAACATAACCCCTATTTTTAAAAAGGAAAAAAAGGAAGAGACCTGGAGAATTACAGGCTAGTCCATCTCACCTCTCACCTGGCAAGACCATGGAGCAGATCCTCCTGGAAACTATGCTAAGACATGGAAAATAAAGAGGTGATTGGTGACAGCCAGCATGGCTTCATTGAGGGCAAATTGTGCCTGACAAATTTGGTGGCTACCTAGAATGGGGTTACAGCATTGGTGGATAGGTGAAGAGCAACTGACATCATCTACCTGGAACTGTGCAAAGCATTTGACATTACCCCCAGGATATCCTTGTCTCTAAATTGGAGACACATGGATTTGACAGATGGACTACTCAGTAGCTAAGGAATTGCCTGGATGGTCATACTAAAAGAGTTGCAGTCAATGGCTCAATGTCCATGTGGGGATCAGTAACGAGTGGTGTTCTTCAGGTGTCAGTACTGGGGCCAGTGCTGTTTAACGTCTCTGTTGGTGACATGGGCAGTGGGATTGAGTGCACCCTCAGCAAGTTTGCTGGTGACACCAACACTCTGAAGGGAAGGGATATCATCCAGATGGACCTGAATAGGCTTGAGAAGTGGGCCTTTGAGAATCTCATTGAGATTCAACAAGGCCAAGTGCAAAATCCTGCACCTGGGCCGGAGCAATCCCAAGCACAAATGCAGCATGGTCAGAGAATGGATTGAGAGCAGCCCTGAGGAGAAAGACCTGGGGGTGTTGATTGATGAAAAGCTCAACATGAGCCAGCAATGTACACCTGAAGCCCAGAAAGTGACCCATATCCTGGTCTGCATCAAAAGCAGTGTGGCCAGAAGGGCAAATGAGGTGATTCTCTCCTCTTCTCTTCTCTTGTGAAACCCCACCTGGGACACTGCTTACAGCTCTGAGGCACCCAGCACAATGACAATGAAGGATTAGAATGAGTCCAGATAAAGACCATGAAGATGATCAGAGGGCTAGAGCACCTCTCCCATGAAGACGGGCTAAGGGAGTTGGGGCTGTTCTGCCTAGAGGAGAGAAAGCTGGGTAGGGTGGGGAAGGAGCATTTGTCAGGGAGTATTCTGATAGGACATGGATTAATGGATTTAAACTAAAAATTGAAAGATTTATATTAGTTTTAAGGAAGACATTCTTCACTTTGAGGGTGGTGAGGCACTGGAACAGGTTTTCCAGAGAAGTTGTGAATGCCCTGCCCCTCAAAGTGTTTAAGGCCAAGATGGATGGGGCTTTGAACAACCTGGTCTAGTGGAAGGTGTCTATGCCTATGGCTGGCGAGTTGGGATTAGGTGATCTTTAAGGTACCTTCCAAACCAAACCATTCTATGATTCTATGATTCCCATGTTTTAAAGCAAGTACTAAAATGTTTTTTTCAAATCACTTTAAGAAATGAGTATGAAGCTGAGCTTTGGGTTTGAATCAAATTGCCAAAATTAAATTTCTATTATTCCTTGTGTTCTTCAGTTTCAAAGACATGAAAAACAAATGAACTGTTAAGATTGGTGGCAGATTGGTACAAAAAATCTACCTTCAAAAGCTTTGATGGAATCAAGTCTTTCCCCTCAGCAAATAAAGTAGAAATCCTTAGATTGCATGATGTGGTACGTATGCCAGGAAGCCTCAAAAACAAATTTATGATCCACTATTTCAGTTATTATTCTTCTATAGCCATTTTTGTTTCAAACATTGGGGAATGCAGTGTGCATTGTTATTTAGAGTGATTTATGAGCTTTTGAGTTTATGGAACAGAAATCTGTATCACATCTACTATGGAGGAGAAAATCTTCTTATAGTAACACAATAATTCGAAGAATTGATTGAAGTATTAAAATTATGTCTCTTGGGTTCTTTATTAGTTCTGTGATTTTCTACTACTTAGTGGACTACCAGGAGAGCAATTGCAGTATGTGACATGCTTCAATGTTGTTGATATCTTCCTTTTGTGAGAGGGCAGGTCTGTCCCTTAATGAGACAATTGTGCTGTGGTTTAATCTGCGTGCAGGCCTACTGGCTTGCCAAAAACAGTGCAAATCAGCAATCTGATTGCCTGGCTTCTGCATTCTTCATTATCAGCACAAATCCTGTTAGCCCTTTTTCAGCTATTGCTTTCTTGCAAATAAACATTTCCATTCATATGTCATATATGAGGGGGAGCTGTGGGAACTGGAGAAAAGTTTAGCCTAGAAAAAATAAGGCTCAGGGGAAACCTTATCATGTTCTACAGTTACCTTAAGGCTATAGAGGGGTGGGTTTCTTCTCCCAATCAACAACTGATAGGGCAAGAGGAAATTGCCTCAAGTTGCACCAGGAGATGTTTAGGTTGGATATTAGGAAAAAATTCTTTACTGAAAGGTTGTGAAGTATTGAAACGAGCTACTCAAGGAAGCAGTTGATTCACCATCCCTGGAGTTTTTCAAAAGATGTGTAGAGCTGTTGCTTAGGGACATGGTTTAGTAGTAAAGTTGGCAGTGCTAGGTTAAAGCTTTGACTTTAGAGGTCTTAGAGGTCTTTTCCAACCTAAATGATTATATAGTTCTTTGATCTGAGTAGCACACAGAAGCTAGACAAAGAAAATTTTGCAGGAAAAGCTCCATAGTTTTGGGGCATCACTGCTTTATGTCAGTGTGTAGTCATTTTTGTTAGGTCATTGTATAGAATGAACTATGTTAAATAATGACCTTACTTTTTTTCAGCTCCACTGCACCCTCCAGTATCCTCTGACATATAAAAAGATCTTCTTTGTCAAGAGAAGGAAGACATTTCTCATAGACTCAAAAGTGACATAGCTGGCTGGCTTGGTATCTGAAGAATACAATGGAAAAAAGGGCTACACTGTCTGCTTTTCGTTAAGACATACCATTTTGGGGAGTAACAAGATTTGAATATCAAGTGCTAGTGGGACAGATGTGAAGTACATTCTTGCAGATATCACAGGAATACTCTGCAGCCCTAGTCAAGAACCAGGACAGTATCCTGGTACATGAGGTAAATAGGTTAGGGGTGTGGAAAACAGCAAGAGGCCAGTTTATTCTGGTGTGATACTGGCATCAGGCAGACCTATGATGGGATCACAGTTGGATGTGGCATGGGAAAGGAACTCATACTGCAGAAGAGTCCATATTGTGAACCAGTACTTTTGGTCTTATGACTTTAGCAAAGTCAGAATTACTCAGAAGTGCCTGTATACCCTGTAAAACAATGCATGTACTTAGTCTACAATAAGTACTGCTGAATTGCTGTCAGGATGCACTACAGTTGTGTTCAAACTGTTTGTAGCAAGCACAACTGCAGAGAATATGTTATTCAGAAAACAACCTCAGTTTTTCATGGTTTGTGTGACTACAGGCTCAGTTGCAATAAAACACATGAACATCACTTTTTAGGCATTGGAATGGGTTGCTCAGGGAGATGGTAGAGTCATTGTCCTTGGGGGTGTTTAAGGGAAGGTTGAACATGGTGCTTAGGGAATATGGTTTAATGAGTGATATTGGTTTTAGAGGGATGTGTTGACCAGATGATCTTGGAGGTCTTAATGATTCTATGGTTATGTGTCTCAATCCAAGGGCAACCACAATGGAAGCCTGGCTCCATCAACATGTTGACATGCTTGGAATGACAGACTTCAACAGCAGCAGTATCAACATCACGACGAGGTGCCCACAGCTTTTTGCTAGTGTCATTCCTTCGGCACGAATTAAGACCTTTCTGTGGTACGCTGACCCTGAACCAACCCTACGTTTCCATGTGGACTAAACAGCCCTCGCTCGGCCGCCACCGCCTTGCGCAGGCACCGTCCCCCGGGGCTGCTGCCGCCGGGGGTGGAGAGAGGCGGTGGAGGCAGCAGCTCCCTGCCTTATGCAAGCGGCTCAGGGAGCGGCCGCCCCCGCCTCGCCGGCAGCGCAGCGCGGCCCCGGCAGCCCCGAGCTGGGGGCGGGAGGGCCGGAGGGGGCCGCCCTCTCCCCTGCCCGGCCCTGCCCGCCCTCGCCGCTCCCAGCGGGGCGTGCCGTTCCGCAGGTGCGGGGCTGGTCGCGGCGGGCGGGCGGCGGAGAGAGCGGCCGAGCAGGGGCTGAGGCGGGCGGCTTGCGGCAGCCGGCGGCTGGCTGGGTTCCCCCCGCGCTGCAGTTGCCCGGCGGGGGTGTTGTTGCGGACTGCAGGCGCTCCTGTCTGTAGGAGGAGAGGCAGGGGAAAGCCTCGACCTCTTTGGGGTCTCCTGTCAGGCTCCGCTCCCTGCCAGGCGGCTCCCCAGGTGCCGACTCCGTGCCTCGACCCGTCTGGCTGTGGGGACATGCGTGTCTGGGACAGCCTTGCTCCATTCCTAATGCTGCCCTCCTGGGTTCCAGGCGTTGCCGCCGGGATTGCCTCCTTGCACCTCATCCAGAAACTCCTCTTCCCCTACTTCTGGGCTGACCTGAGATACTTGCTGAAAGTACTGATGTATGGGCTGAAAGTGGAGATCTACAGGCTGCAGGGGAAGATTGTCACCGTCCTGGATAAGTTTGTGAAGCTGGCTGAGGAGCAGCCCCACAAGCCGTTCCTCATCTACGAAGGGAAGGTGCACACCTACCAGGATGTGGACAGGCGGAGTAACAGGGTAGCCCAGGTCTTCCTTCACCACGGTGCTCTGAAAAAGGGTGACACAGTGGCCTTGCTGATGGGCAATGAGCCCGACTTCATCCATGTGTGGTTTGGACTCGCCAAGCTGGGCTGCGTGGTGGCTTTCCTCAACTTCAATGTCCGCTCCAGATCTCTCCTGCACTGTCTCAGTAGCTGTGAGCCCAAGATACTGATTGTGGGAGCAGGTAGAGTATACAGTTACTTTGCACATCCAAAGCTTTAAATGTCACATCTCCCCTGTATATGTGTCTTCAGCTCCTACACTGAAAACCAAATTTTCAGATGTTCACAGAAAGAAAGAGATCTAGGGCTAGAAGGGACTTCAAGAGAGTATAAAGCTTAAGCCACTTAGCCAGAGTCAAGTATATCCATGCTTTGGGGGCATTGTTTTAAACTGTTCTTAAAAGTATAGGTTGCTGGAAAGTTTGCAACATCTAAATGTAGCCTGTCCCAAGTGTTTAATTACTTCAAGAGTTGCCAAACAGGTGTCAGAAAAGGTTAAAATGACCTTAATTAAGAATAATTTCCAATTCTTTTTAAATAGTCAATTTTTATCTTATCCAAATCATGAACTTTCTTTTTCTGTTCCATAGTTGTAGTGATCAATTCCTTTATGATCTAGAAGGCCAAAGCTACATATTATACGTATTCTGCTGTACCACTATGCACAGAGGTATACTTGTTTTCCAATAATTAAAATTGGGAGTTTTATAGATGCAGAAGATAGATTTGCAATAAGCAAATTAGTGTTGGCATCAGATTGTAGAAGAAACTGCCGTGTCTGAATAGGTGATAACAATGTTTTATATAAGTTTCCAATGTACTACATTATTTATTACATGCTTCAAAAGAATTTAAAATCTTAATGTAGATATATTGTGCATTGTATGTTGTAATTGAGCTTCAGTTATATAGATGTATAAACCAAAGCCAGAGATATAAAACGTAAAGTTGTGCTGCTGAGCATCTCAGCATTTATGATTAATTGCAAGTAAAACTACAATTGTGAAAAAAATGACACAGAACCTTGACTTTTTGGATGGGGGAAGATATTTCAAAATATGAGTGTTGTCCTCCCTCTCTAAAATTATTATTTCAAGTGTAGTATGCCGTATTTCTAGTTCACAGCTTCATTTTCTGTTAAAAAGATTGTGGAGTTTTGTTTGCATCAGTGACACCTAACTGGTGGAATTTCCTTTTGTGTGCTCTGTGCAGCTGCTGCAAAAATATGCTTTAATAATTTTGTTTAATATTTTTCCCTTGCATATTTTTCAATTCAGATTATGTAATTCCAGTTGTTTATGCCATGGCGGTTTAAGAATAGAGTGCTTGTTAATTAAAATGAGCCAATTTAAATATAATCCCAAAGCAAATGATTAAAATGTTTCTGAACTGGCAATTTTTAATTTTGCCTTCTTACTTAATAAAAAAAACAAACTCATTTAACATACCCTCTTTGAATATGTGCTTTTGAATGTGACTGAGGAATCAAATTAATGTTAAGGCAATTCTTGATCATTGACTGCGGTTAAAGAGAACTTTGGATCAAAATTTGTATCTAGAGGTCATCTTTATTAAAATCAGAGGTTAAATAATGAATGAGAAAAGCATATGCAAATCAGGAACAGGATCCGTGTTGCTCCACTCTTAATCTGATATCAGCAGCTTCTAGTTGTAGTGACTATGTTGAACCACAAACTTGTTTTAAGAGTCTGGCCATCTCAGCTCACAGGGGAAAAGCTGTGTGTGAACATGTAGTATCAACAAGCTAGTCTCTGAGTTGGTCTTTTACATGTTGGTGAACCTTATTCATGGATTTCATTGTGTGCATTAAGATAATCGGTCCCTCAAGCCTACAAGGCATCACAGTATTCTTCAGGATTTGGAGGCTCAATTTGTGCATCTCTCTGACAGAACTGGAAATTCTGTTTCGTCCTTGTTTGCTGGCCTTGTCATATAATAGAGGAGCCTCTCCAAAGGGGTCTCTGAGTTTTGCAGTTGAAGGCTCATGTGCTCTTTAGTGGCCATGAGGACTAACTAACATCACTTGCAACAAAAGCACAGTATTATACATCTTTATTACACATAACACTTCCCAACGTTTATGAAAATTGCAGGGCAGTATTTAACACTGAAGTTACACAGTCAATTAGATACATTACCAGAGGTGTATTAACATCTTTTCATCCAGTGTTTGTGTTTAAAGGGATTCTGCCTTAACAGTAGGCATGACCTGAGCTTTCCTTGTGTGCTTTGCACTTTTTCCACTAAATTGGACATTCTTTAGCAAAAAAATATACACTAAAAGCATTCAACCAGTGGTCCAATATCTATCATTGTCATAGTTAGAATCATGTTTGGCAAATAAGGATTTATTTATTTATTTATTTTAATTTTATTGTTAGACATCAATTTATAAAGGTATTCTTTCTGAATAGAGGAAATTCTATTTTTCAGCTGTATGCATGCTTTGCAGACCCCACAGACAAATCTAGGCTTGACTCAGCAACTCCATTAAAACAGTTACAAAGCTATCTTTTCAAGACTTCAGATGACCTCTTATCTAGTTTATACTAGTGTATACTAGTTTATACTGCAGCGCAGCATAAATCATCTCTTTACAATTTGGTCATTAACTGTCTGTGCTCAGCATGACCAAATTTGCTGTTGAAATTCTTGTCTGTAATGACACATTAAGTCTGGAACATGCATTTAAATCCACTTGAGATTTAATTTCTGTTGAAGGGGACTTCCCACCTTCTGCTGATATCTGGAACAGTTCACACAGATCATTGTTTATTGCTAAATCTTCTCTGTTCGGAATATGTTGGTGTCTCTGTGTGCAACAATTGTATGTGAATTCTTTTATTAGTGCATCCTGTAATTTTTTCAAAAATGTTTTAGTTTTTTTTGAATGTGATGCCCCTATCCAAATAGTCCAGGTATTGTTTATGGTTGCATTTTCTTCCATACCTTCCATGCTTCCAAAATCTATCCCATTTTGTGGACTTTGTACTCTTCAGTTGTCTTTTTTGTCTGCATATTTTTCAGAGGATGTGATTTGGTAGCACAGTTCAATTAGTACAGTATTATCTTCCCTTGCAGTCAGGTCTTGTTCAGTTCTGACAATTCTCTGATATTTTAAATACTTTATCTAACTGCAGATTGGGGTATTTTAGTAATACTTAAATTTGGGGATTTGGTTTCGACTTAGGTATTCTACAACCTCTCTGTAACTGAAACTTTGATTCTTCAGACTCTGATATGTTATTCAAGCTCCAGAATTTCTCCTTTTATTGGTTTCTTGTATGAAATGGTTATCTCTAAAAGGCTGAATTTTTAATAGGATAACAATGTTCTTGTAGTTCATTTAGCATAATCTAGTATCTTGGTTCCTTCCTTCTCATTCAAGCACTGGCTGTAAAAGAAAGAGATTCTCTGGTTTGCTAATATTTATACCCTGTTTTCCTTGCTAGAATTTGCACATGTCTTTGTAGAAATTAATGAGTTTTTGCTTTAACTACTATCACTTTCCTGCTGTGCTCTCAGAGCATTTCAGCTGCTCTGGGATTTTTAGCTCTTACTTTAGTTTATTGTGTAACATTCTCAGTATTCCATCCCCAGAAACTCTCTGTCACCACTCCCATTCTGGGGAATGTTTTTTGTAAGAGATTCAAAAGTTGGAGTTTGAAACTGCCTTTTTAATAAAACAGGTAACTAATGTGCAAGCAAATAAGGAATTTGTGAAGGAGAAGGAAGCTGTATGCCTTCTCTCTGTAAGACTGCTAGTATCAGTTTAGCAGGAATCTGACCTGTTTATAAGGTGCTTACCTGTACTACCTTTATTACCAGATTCTGCTGCCCGTATTCCTTTAAAAAAAAAAAAGTGCGATAAACAGAGGAGTGAGGTACTGTTCTGTGTTATCTTTTAAGGCCCTATGGCCTTTCTAGGGACTATTTCTATTCATTGGAGTCTTACCTGACCAAGGAACTACATTTTACCTTTAGGACAAAAGCTGTATAGAAGTAATACGTTCATAACCTAGTGACCCAGTATAAAGGTACAAATTGAATTTGTTGGTGTGTTTATAGTATGTTATAAACAGAAGAGTTCAGATCTTTGTAGGACATCCCTGATTGCCATCATGACTTCTGATTCAAGGATTCAGTTGTGAAAGGATTGCATTACTAAGCTCCAGGAGATTGGTTTACAACAGTCCTGATAGCAAATGGTGTTCAGAGTATATTCAGAGTACATGCTGTATGGATACGCATGGACAGCCAGCTCTAGGTGACTGTGCTTAGGCAAAACCGTGACTGTTTCAGACCAAGATGACCTCCAGCAGTTGTTCCTTTCCAACCTCATCCATTCTGTGATTCTGCCATTCTCACAGCTGTGCAAGGTATAGCATTTTCTTGGCCAGGGTTCTGTACTCTTTAGGCATCATCAGTGCTTTCTGCTGCTGGTGAGCGTAATCTGAACTTTTTGTCATTTGAGCTCAGAACCAGGGTTTATTGCTGACAGGTGTAAAGTTAAGACAATTCCTGGAGAAAGAGATTTAGGAAAATATTCTTGGCATTTGTGGATTATGATCAGGTGATATATACGAATACCAGTGTCATCTCTCATATGTTAGTCATCTGGAAAAAAAAAAAAAAAAAAGGAATAGATTTTGTCAAAACCTTCATCTTTTCTTAAGTTTGGAAGAAATGATTAAAGGTATCTAGACCTAAACATCCAGATAAAGGAAATCACAGAAGACCTGCAGAACAGATTCTTGACGCTGTATCTGTTTGATCACTTGTTTTCTTTCAGTCTGTGTCTCTAAGACAGTGCTTGATCAGAAAACAGTGCCCGCTATGATTCCCAAGCTGGTTTCTGCTGTACTGCCTTTATTGTGCTGCCTTTACAGTGACAGTTCGAGATTCCAGCACTGATGCTGATCTGCAAATGAAATGAGATTTCTGTTATTATTGCTTAGTGAGAATAGACCCTAGGTGTAAGGAGACATTTAGGGATTGGTAACTAATCAGGTAACTGGTATCAGGTAATACAGGTAACTAATTTTTCTGATGCCAGGCAGTGTGGGAAACAGTTTGAACTTGCCATGGCTTATGGAGCATATCATTCAGAGTGCACATCAGATTTGTTAAGAACCATTTCATATAACTTGCTCTCTGAGTAACTTTTTGTTCAGTACAACTAGATCTCATAACCTCATTTATTCCTTTCATCAGTGTAGGACTTGTCTGTTTGCCAATAGGCTGCATTGTTTCTTTGCTAGAAATTAATATAACAAACCCTTTGTGCAACTTGAAGCCTAGGACAGTAGGTTAAAACCAAAACACATTTTACTTGTTTTCTCAAAAGATGTAACTTCATGTGAAGTTAATGTAACATAGTTTCAAAAACTTTCTTTTAAACAATAAGTTTCTATAAAAGCAAGAGAAAAAAATGTTTGAAGAAGCATATTAATTTCGACAAAATAATAGATTTTTTTCAGTGGAAGCCAAATAGTTAGCAAATGGGGAATATTCACATATAAAATATGTAAACAGTGCGCACAGAACTTCTGACTACATTGCCAAACGTTAGATAAATATTCATGTCCTCCAAAACAAATAAACCAAAACCTGAGTATAATTTCATAGTTTAAAGAGTCAACAAGTACTTGAGAGAAACCACAAGTTTAAATAGCTAAATTGATTTACTATTATTGCTTTACTATATGGTTGAGTACACATACAAGGTACTTCTAAAAATAATTGAACTGTAGATCCTCCAAGAGGGCTATTTATTCCTGACACATGGACAAGATTATTTGTAAAGACCAATGAGTTCTACACAACATCCGGCACAGAAGTTTTTTGTTCACGGAACAAAACATTAGTTGACTATCATCAGAATTATTCTTTGGGAATATATTAGTACAACTAAGAGTTATCTTCAAACACCCTATGCTCATGCCTGTTCCAGAAGTAGTTTTAAGTTTCTGGCACTTTGAAAACAGCTGTTTTAAATTACTTTCTTCTTTGGGAAATGACTTATTGTTCTCTGCTATCTAGCTAGAAACTTCGTTCAAGATAACATATCATTACGAACTGTTCACATATTGTTCTGAGTACTAGATTCCCTAGCACAAAAGAAAAAACTATTGTATAATTCACTCACAGAACAAGTGCTCAATAGCAGTTAGAAAAAAAAAAAAAAAAGTAAGGCCTTGTACAACAAAAAAAGCTTTAGGTTATATGTGTGTGTGTTTAGAGAAACAGTGAACAGTGTGCATGCCTAATTTGAACAATGATCTTAATTATTTAGTGCAAAAGTGTTTCAATCTACTAAAAGGGAGTTATGTCCTCCTGTCACTCTTGAATCTTAACTGATTATGCGTGTACAGTTGAAATCAGTAGTTGCTATTTTCCTTCCTTAAAAGACACAAATGAAAAGAGGAAAAAATGAAACAGAAGAGAGAAATCTTTTTGATAAACTTGCAGTTCATGTTACTCAAACACTTAGAGAAGTGGGTGCACATCTTATCTAGCATTTCTGAATACTAAAGAAGTATGAAGGAATTCACAAATATTTCTGTTGTGCAGTTCTGAACAAAAATGTCTTCTGTAGAGAAAACAATAGTTGGCCAGTATTACACTGGCCATCTTTATCACTTTAAAAAACATGGAAGGCAAAACAATTAAAGGCAATGCAAGGAGTAAATAATCTAGCTCTGGAAAATAAAGAAATTCAGTAATGGCATATTTAGTATCTGCAGTACTTAAAAGTGTTTGTTTTTTTTTTGGTTGGTTTTTGTTTGTTTGTTTTTCAGGCCTTTTGCAAGAGGATAGTTTGTAATTCAACAATATGTAAACTTTCATTTACAATTACACTTCAGTTACACAGGAAAATTTTGCTTGATAACTTTTATTGCACATTTTTTCTCAATATTTGTACATCATGCTGATTATTTGGTAAGGTCTCTACACAGGACAGCCATCTGAGTCTGGCGGTCTGGTGTATATGATTGCTGTAAGTTGGAGAAACCACAAAATCCTTGGCATTAATAATTCAAAATCCTTAACATCTTTGCTGGCACTGTAGTTAGTGCCAATGCATCAACAAACAGTGGCAGAGGATGTTACATACTTTTACTATTTTTGAGAAGAGAGATTGAACTCCAGCAAATTCAAACACATGTTTCCCTTGCTAGATTCTCAGCCTAACTTGTACCTACACAAACTATATATTTATATTTATATTGTGTATTTACAAGACATTTAAGAGGAAGATAAAAATCACAATTGGAAGCTATTTAGTACATAGTTATTCTGTCACGCTTGGTGTATTAACAGCTGTTTTTCATGAGAAATATTACTGTTATATTTTAATACTTATGACTAGAAAAACATGCCCTAATTGTACAATGTGACAGCAAAGCAGAATTACTGATGAGTGAACCTGGACTTTTAGTGCATCAGGTTTCCTGCAGTTGACATTACTGTCCCTAACATGACGTTGCATTCACTTTAATTATTCTATTGCTATGTGTAGTGAAAAGGGACTGTACTCTGGTGATTCAAACAAGAGGCTATCTTTTAGATTTTCATAATTATTTAGGTAATTTCTTCCTCAAATCATTCTGCAGGGTAAGGAAGTTAGGACACCAAAATTTTTATGTCACACCCTATCAGAATGTTTTCTAAACATTCACAAAATATACAGAACTTGCCCTCTGGCTTCAGGTTTGTAAGACCTACATATAGTCAGGGACAGTACGCTATTCTCTGTTATGGTAACAGATTAGTATGTCATTCACTAAAACATTTACAGCAGTCTGTCACTAGCAAAAATTTTTTTGAAGGATTAAAAATCTTGCATTAATATGGTGCAAAGTATATGAGAGTGAGTTCTATTAATGATACCCATATTTAATATTTTCAAAATGAGCTTGGGGTTGACATTGGGAGTTCAAATGCTGGCTCTTTCAGAGCCTCATTATGAGGTTCTGGGTGAGTCATTTCAACTTTTTATGTTTATTCATTTATAAAAAATGAGATAATAACATACATTTATACCCACAGGGATATTTACAAGATTAATTGCTTAGGCTGAGATCCAGCAAAGCACTTAAGTGTAAATGTTTCTTTAAGTATATGAATGATTCTATTGAAAGCAATACGACTATTCTTGAGAATTTTGCTGGATTAGTACTTTAATGCCTGTCCAGTATTCTGTGAAAGTGACAGATTGTAAAAATGCTTAAAAAGATAAATACCAAATGTATTACTTAGGAACTGACCTCTACTTATATATATATTTTTTTCCTTTTTGTTTAATCTAGGTCTCTCTCTCTGTTTCTTTTCTGCTTAAATGAACAAAATAGATCTTATTTACACTACTGTTGTTATAATTTTATAACGGTGAATTTGTATTTATATTTAGGTAAAAGCTAATGGAATGAATTCCTTTTAGTGAGTGAATGTTTGGTTATAAGAAAATAAAATCGTTTGATATACCTAAAATCCCATTCAAATATAAATACTGATATCTGAAACAATCACAGAAAGAGCCACATGATTTTTCAGAAGTGTATGAATAAGCCACAGGTCAGTATCACATTTCTATTCACTGAAATTCAGGTGTCCATACACATGATGCAGGTGTACGGACACCTGAATCATGCACAGGTACACATGATACATTTTACTTTTTTTCACATGATACTTTTTATTTTTTTTCCCCAAATCAGTCACTTCTGTGCTAATGAAAAAATACTGTTTGATGAACAATTGCTGTTGATGGCCTCCAACGAAACCTATATGTTTGCCCTGCATCTTTAACAGATTTGTTCATCTTTAATTTAAAGCTTAACAACACTTCATTCTGATTTCAGCAATAACAAAGGGTTACCCAAAATGCAGTGGGAAGCAGGAACTAGTAATCAAGGCTCAGTGTTTTGCCTTGAGGACAAGACGACAATTATACATTGTGGAGTCAGAGAGTAATCAGTACTTTTACCACCTTATATCTAGTTTTCAATGAATATCCATTCCAACTCATCATTATTTTACTTTATTATTTATTTACATTCATAGGGGTAAATACAATCCCTATTTCTATTATAGAAATAAGAACTTTTGAAGGAAAAATACCTTACTTGCATTTAGTTTTGTGAGGATGTGATGTAAGTAACATTATTTTATGTTAATCTTTAAGATTTGCTTGGGACACTAGAAGAAATTCTTCCTAATCTCCAGAAGGACATTAGTGTTTGGATAATGACCAAAGACTCAACTTTTCCAAGTGTGCATACGCTTTTAGACAAAATGGAGGCTGTTTCTGAAGACCCTGTTCCGGTTAATCGACGCTCTGCCAATAACCTCAAGTCATCTGTTTTGTATATATTTACTTCAGGAACAACAGGTACTGGTCTGCTAAAGAGGCAATATTTTCCTAAAGCATTCATCTAGAAACCTGATTTTCTGACACTCTAGTCTGTTTGTTAATCTTTTCATAATTGAATATCATTGTTTCATATCCTTTTGGTAGGAAATAAGCACGCTTGTTATAGTTGACTTTTATATTAAATATTTTATGTGCCTTTTTTATTTGTCAGGTTGTACAAATAGTGCTAAGGTGTTTATAAAATGTTTTGCTTATTCTATGGGTTTTCAACAGTAGTAAGTGCTGTTTTGTGATCATATGCCACAGTACAGCTAACGTACCCAGAATTTTAAAAAACAATCTTAAAACTAGCAAATTGACATTTACTTTTTCTTCCTTGAGTTAAGTTCTATGCAGGTCACTGTAGTGACAGAAAATAGGATTAAGTTACTAGCCTTTAAGTTTAGAAGCAGATGGCTGAATTTATTACCAGTCCTCCAGCAGCTAAGAAGCTAAGGCTTAAAAAAAAAAAAAAAAAAAAAAAAAAAGTGATCAGTGACATGAAAAGCAGCATGATGTTGTTAAGATAAGCAGATTGGCATTCTCCTTCAGCTGAACACTACAGTAGCCACAAGAAGGATTATAATGAAGATTCATATTATGGCTTGTTTCCTCAATATAAGTAATTATTTAATTTATTTGCTTCAAATTCTTGGGAAAATTTAGAAACTGAAAGAGATGGTCTAGAATAGTGTGTGTATATATGTACATAAAATATATATTTTTAAAGCTATTAATATCGTCCAGATGTCAGGTGTGTTGAAAAACTACTAATATAACTGAATGTTTACATATATTACATTTATTTACATTTATATATATTTTTTTCATACTATGCAATTAGAAGAGTAAGACTGACTCAGCTTGAGAAGTGTGGGATAACTAGTTCTAGTCTAAAGTAATTCAGCATTTTCACATTTTTGATAATACCAGAGCATAGTTTTTAGTATAAAATCAATGGTGTATTTGAAACTTATTTGAAATAAATTATTACCTTGCACGGTCTATAGTCAGCTCTTTGTGTTGAAACCCCCTAGGGAAAATATAGGGCAGAAGAAAAAAACTCAGGACTCTCCAGCATCACAAAGTTATGGAATAGTCGAGGTTGGAAGTGATCTTTGGAGGTTTGAACCTCCTGCTCCCCCCTGGTCAAGCAGGAACACCCAGAGCAGGATGTCCAGGATCATGTCCAGACAGCTTCTGAAGATCTCCAAAGAGGGAGACACCAGAGCCACTCTGAGCAACATATTCCAGTGGAATTCCTTCTTGCTATATGTTCATTGATAACATAGGCTTAATGCATTTTCTCTGCAGTGTTTCTCTTCAGTGTGAGTTTTGGAATTGGTTTGAAGCATAGCTAGAATCTCCAGAGATTACACTTCCAGTTAACAGATTCAGTTAATCCTCAAAGTAACAGTGGCTATATTAGAATAGGTGATAAAACTTCCTGATCTTTTATAGCTTTTGAAATTTTAATAGTTCTCACTGTTCATCAGTAGGACTAAATCATTTTGAATGAATGTAAGAACACATATCAAACAAGAACACATTAAAATACGCACTCAAAATAGTATGTACCAGAGTAGAAGTCCAATGAACTCCTGTGTGAGTCTTCGTGTTCCTGAACAGAAAGTCTCTGCTGAACCTGAAGAATCTCGTACGGAAGAATATAATTTGAATGGACTCTCAACATCTTTTGCTGGATTGTGTCAAATTCTACATAGTCTTCATAGTGTTCCGAAAGACTATTTAGACTTAGATGAGCATGTTTTTAGATAAGCATACACTACTTTGCCTGGTACAGCTCATGTACCTTAGCTCTTAACTACGTTGCAGTCACTTTGGCTCCTGCTTGAAAGATGTTGCTATATTTTAAAAGAAGTACATATGGATAATGAATGTTTTTAACCCTTTTTTGGTTCTGTGTAATTTGATAGTGTATTAGCTGAGGAGTTTCTTCATATTTCTTCCTATTTGAATAGATTTACATCAGAATAAATAACTAACACATGAGATTACAAACTGGCTCTTGCATGTTTATGTGTACAGAAACACACAATACTGTATTAAACATCCAGTTGTCTATTTAACTAAATCGTCTGAAAATTTGTATGGTATTGATTCTGTTACAATTACAGAGACTTTGGAGGAAAAAAAAAAAAAAAAAGGCTTCTCATGAAGGGAGGCTTTATGCAAATTTTTTGTTTTCATTACAGGTCTTCCAAAGGCAGCAGTCATCAGTCACATGCAGGTTCTTAAAGGAGCTGCTGGACTGTGGGCTTTTGGTGCTACTGCAGAAGACATCATTTATATCACCCTGCCTCTTTATCACAGTGCAGCATCTCTCCTTGGCATCGGAGGATGCATCGAATTAGGTAGGACTCATTTCATTAAATTGTCTTTTTAACAGAGTATTAATTATTATAAAATTGTATTAAAACACATTTAGGCTCACTGCCATTAGGGAAACTGCAAATTAACAAATATGCTTTTCTGAATAGCTTTATGTTTATGAATTTTGGGGGATGTGGAAGAGTGTTGTAATAGCAAAGGATCTCTTTTACTGACTATCTTTGTGGTATTGGAGAAGAATTATTACAGTTACTTGTGTAAAAAGTGTTCTTACTTTTTTATTTGTGTAAAAAGGAACTTAGGGATGTATATTTTGACAGTGTATATAGCACAGTGTGTGTACAGACTAAGTATTGTACTCTGGAATAGAATTAAATGTATTTTGGTGAAATTAAAAAGACTGCTAAATACAAATATGGCTAGCTAAGCTGCCACATAGAGAAATGCTTCGTTTCCCATTTTTCTGTTTTCCTAAAGGGGCAACCTGTGTCTTAAGAAAGAAGTTCTCAGCTAGTCAGTTCTGGAATGACTGCAAAAAATACAATGTGACTGTCATCCAATACATTGGAGAACTTTGCCGTTACCTTTGCAGCCAACCAGTGGTAAGTAGAACCAAGATGATTGCTATTTATCTGTAAGTTACTTGTATATGTGTTGTTCTTACTGTGGTTATGTTAAGAGAGAAGTACCGTATTGTACTATACCAAGCCTGCTCCTCTGCCCTTCATCTTATGTGAGGTTTCTCAAGTATTTGGTGGTCTATTGACCGCGCCAAAAAAAAAAAAAGTTTGAATTGTAAAAAATTAAATTGTAAAAAAAAATAAATTGCAAAAAATAAAAGTATTAAGAGAAAAGATTCAGATATTAACAAGTGAATCAAAGTGATTTGGTGAAGAAATATTGTTAAAGTTTCACTAACTAATGTCAGAAAGCCTTTATTACTGTTAAAAGCCCTTTTAGAATTTTCAAAACTTTGTTTCTTGGAATATAATGGAGAGGTCTACAGTTTTGTAGGTCATATTTTAACACTGCTTTGACTTGTGGAATTTCCTTATATTTAGACCATATGGAACATATTTTATAATTTTTAAGCAGTTTGGTATGATTAGCAGCTCAAAGGAAAGATGCCTTTGTTCTAGTTAGAGAGCTATACCAGACAACAAAGCAACATTTGTTAAAATGACATTCCTCCCTGAAACTGTGTAAGCCCTAACTTGAGCATACTTCTTTTCCCTTGGCAGTCAGCGGTGTGATGTTCTATCTGTTCTATCAAATACTAAGTGTGCTGAACCTGTTATAAAAACCACGTACAGCTGACTCAGATTAATTGAATTAACTCTTGGTCTGGCTTTTTTTTGTGGTATGTTCCTAGAGCTACCCATTAGTTGAGAGAATCTGAGATATTCAGGTTAAATTAAATTTGTTGGAATTAATTCAAAATGTAATATGGAATATATGTAATAGACAGAACGGGTCAAGCATATAACCTGTTGCATAGCAAGCCCAATCGACTTTCTGTCAAGTGCTAGTGCTCAGTGTGTCAAAATGAATACGAAACAAGCATTCATAGTCCAATATAAACTAAAATTCATCTTGATAATGCTGGTAACTGTTGTTCCATTCATTTATAAGCTGCAGGTTGTCCTGTTGTGTTTTAATAAAACACGTTAAATCTTTCATTATAGATTACCTTACTTGGTAAATCATTTTAATAAATGTTTTTTTAAAAGTAAATTATGATCATAAACGGCTTTTATTTTGAGTAATTCATAAAATTAATAACTGCTGGAGAGTAACTATATTGTATTAAGCATAAGGAGTAATATCTTTTAATTTAACAAAATGATTAGGAGAGTGCAAAAAAGACAATGGATTATTTTTTTTTTCCTTCTGAAAATTTTCAGGAGCATATTTAACTAATGTAGAGTTAGGCTCATATGTCCTACATCCCTATCCATGAATGTCTCAGCAAAGAAAATATATTTGTATTAAAGAGGACACGGCTGATGTCCCAGTGATCACTAGTGGCTGTGGATGGAGAAAAGTTAAAGACTACAAAGAAAATCAGAACATTTGTAAGGCCCAGCTTTTTTAATAGGATTTTTTTCTTCGTTGTAGGCCAACATGATGTCCCCAAAGACATCCCCTTCTCTTTAACACTTTCCAACTTTTGCTGTGTTTCCAGACTCATATATTAATTGTTCTTTTTTTCTGTCCTTTAGAAACTGGTCTCCGTAGAGTTGAGTATGGCATTTTGTGTTCATTTTATCTGGTTCAGTGTCTTAGAGCAACAATGATAGATTAATGTACTTCATTTCTAAACAAAGTCTTTCTTTTTTAAATCCTTCCAAAACCATCATAAGGTTGAAGGAGTTCTGCAAATAAAGATGGTTATACCGAACCATCATTAAATAGGTATTCTATTTGTTATGTGAGTACTTTCCAAGAGCTGGCATATCTAAACTCTTTGCTCTGTGAGGCTACTGACTAAAGAGAAATCTAATAGTCCTTCTCAAGAAAAAAAAAATAAAAATATATATATATATATTATAAAATATAAAAATATAATATATATATATATATATATTTATATAAAAATATATTTATATTTATATATTTTTATATTAAAATATAAAAATATTTTATGTATATAAAATGAATGAATTTGATATGTAGCTAGATTGTACTTGAAAAGTAGTAACTATTCCTCAAGTTTGAACTGGAAGAGAAACATGTTCACATGTTAGCTAGTGAAATAATTTGCCAAGTTATCTCTTGTTAAGTTTAATCTGCTTAAAAGTGGTATGTATACTGGCAGCATGAAAAAGGTCTGGCTAATACAAGTTCTAAACTTCTATGAAGATGCTATGTAGACAGTGTTCTCAAGGTTCAAATACTCTAAAGCCCTTATAATAAGCATATATTAAAACCACAGTAATTCTATTAACTGCTCATTTTTTTCTTTAATTATAAATTTGAAATAAATGGTGTTTTTCTACAGTTGGAGGCCACAGTTCTCTGATGCTTCTTATTTCATAGATTTTGAAATGAACATTTGTCAAGTCTTTGTGGTAGCATCCAGACTTTTAGGTTAGCTTTCCTGTATGGGTTCTGTCTTGTTTGATCTTTCTGCCTCTCACTCACATCTGCAATAGCTCTTGAAAACTTCTTGCAATGGAATTCTTCTGAAACCTGTTCTGCATCAAGTTTGTTTTAGTAACTTGTTGACTGGAAAGACCACTCATTAGAAAAATAATCCTTTTTTTCCTCTAAGTACAAGCACAAAGGTCATGCACTGTATGATGCTTTTAGCTTTTTCTGGGCTCCTAAAACAGTGAGTAATCCTCATGCCTGCCCACCTCTAAACGTCTCTTTTGATTGTAGTGAAAGTACAACAGCCAGTACCAATGGTTACTAGCTATCAGTAGCTAGAAAATGGATCATGCTCTAAAATGGCTACTAAAGGTCTTCAGCAAATTAATAATTTAGTCTTGCTGGTTGACATTGCTCAAAGTCTCATGTTAGAGTGCTCTAAAAAATATGAGAAGAAAGGACAGCTCGATGTAGCTCCCTATTTCCTCTTTAGACAAAGGCCTTAGATCCTACTAATCTGTGTATGTATTTTCCCTAGGGGGTTTCAACAAAATTTGTTTCTAATTTGAAGTAAGGATTTACTTACATATAACAAGACATGAAGCTTTTGGAAAGATAGGAGTCGAAATGTACCATCTCTTTCATGCTTTTCCATAAAGGTGTCCTGAATCCTGAAATGGTTTACAAATACAGGTTAGAAATCAGTCACAACCTGTTAGATTTCTAAGAACCTGTTAGAAATCTGTCACAACCTGTCAGACATTATGACATTAATTATTTGATATACAATCCTTTGCATGAACTTGGTAAGCTCTCTATTAAAACTGGAGTTCACCTCTACTTGTATTCAAAGTCCATTTCACAGTTCAAAAAATCATTGCTTCAAAAACTTCTTAAGTATCAATCCTGTTTTTATCTCCATTTGGTGTTGAGCCGGTGTTATCCTTTGGCATCAGTAACATTTCCTTTTTCCTTGGGTTACCTCAAACATGTAAGATTTTGTATATCAGCTTTCAGGCTTAATTTTGTTAAGCTGAAGCAAGCCAATCTCTTTACTAGAACTAGTTTGGCCAAGGTTTTCTTTGGATAGGATTAAGCTCTGAAGTGACTTTAGAAAAGATGCTTAAGGATTTATTTTATTAAAACTCTTCTGCATTAGAACAATAGTAATTGAAAAGGAGAAAACAAGGAAGTTCATACTGCTGGCATCAACAAACAGAGTGAACACATTTCCCCGCTGTTGACTCAGGTGCTGTGGGAAGGGGTATAAGGGCAGGTATGTTGGATAACTGTGTGTCCCACCTGGAAACAGGTTTCTTTGAAGGAAGAAAATCTGATTGAGTAAAGTAGAGAAGGAAAAATGAGTCAGCAGGCACAGTTTTGTTCAATTGACGTTCTGTACTATAAATTGTTCTTAGTCTTGTCATTAACACGTGGAGTGGATACCCTCCCTCCTTCCTACAGCCTTTGCTCAGGTAGTGATAGAGGGCAATAAGGTCTTCTTTCAGTCCCGTTTTCTACAGAGGAAACAGCCCCAATAGGAGTTTCCACTGGAACAAGGGAGTTTACTTAGCTGTTCCTCATATGTCTTGTTTTCTAGTCCGTTCACCAGTTTCATTGCACTTTTCTAAATGCATTCCAGCAACTCCCTATCCTCTTCTGGTGAGGGCCCCAAAACTGAAATAATGTTGTTCAGTATGTGAAGTGTGGTCTTATCAGTGCAGCGTACAAGGAGGTAATGACTTCTCTAGTCCTGCTGGCCACACCATTTCCGATGTCCTGATAGTGGAGCCTTGAAATCACATTCATAGTTTTGCAAAGAGAAGCTCATATTCACAGAATACTTCAGAATGAAAATAAATAAATAAATAAATAAAAATCTGTGCATGTTTTAATTCTCTAAACTGACCTTTGGAAAGTTTTGTGTAATTTGTTTTGACATTTGGGCTCCTAGGGCAATCACTAAAAATACAATGATCTACTTTGTATTTCTGGGTGAAACACTGACAAAAGTGACTTTTTTTTTATTGGTAGATATTTTCTGAGGAAATAAAAGTACAGCTAAAAAAAAACATTCCCCACTAGAATCAATACCATTAGAATCTAATGCTATTAGATCATCAGGAGATTCATTAATGAAAGTGTGGTGAGAGTGAGCTGTACTGCAATAGTAAACAATTGATTCCTGAGCTGGAAAATGTACGCTGTTGCTAAGTTTTCCTGTTTCCTTCATATGCTGCATCAGTTCAAGACAGATGTAAAAAAATAAAATTTTCCTTCACTTTTGTTTTTAAATTTGGCTATATGTGTTACTCAAAAAATCTAGATGAAGTTTATAACAAAGTGTTTGTGCAAGGTGAATTGAATGAAGCATATTATCTTGAAAAAAATATTGCATTCATCAATTTAATGGCAATAAGTTATCTCTCATTTCATAGTGTCCCTAATAACTACCTGATGCCCCCTTTTTTTTACAGGGCTAATGAGTCAACAGATAGCCAGTGAATGT